GCAATCCTGAAAAATATTTGGGGGTGCTTAACTTTTTTCCAGGTGTATATATATACTCTCGAAAAAATCGAGGTTCTTTGATCACTTATGTACAAGTGAATAACACCACATGGTGTAGAAAAATAAGTATTAAATGGAGCAAGATAGTTTAACTGTAAGAATTAATGGAGATCTTAGACCCTTGGTAAAGTTTATAAAACGAAATCAAACCAATTAAAAAACTATCTCAGAGGGGGTAGATTAATTTTGAACAGAAGTTCCTTGACTTGCTTTAAAAATAAAAAGTATGCGTATATGTCAGGCATTTTGTGTCAAAGTGGGAAACTGCATTTGTTTTAAGCTAAGAGATGCCGCCACCAGCACATCAATTTGTTTGATTCAGAAAGTTTTGCGCAAACCTACATAAAAGACTATCTGCGCATAGCTGTCCTTAATTTTGAACTCACAGTCAGAGGGAGGGCAACTAGTCAACAACACCTACCGTCAACACTTGGGATATTCTTGTCTGATCGAAAAATGGGCATTGGACATTATTTTTATAGTATAACCACTGCCCCAGTCCCCCGGTGATACAACGGCAAAATTAAGGACTTACAACGCTATAATCCGGAGTATGATTCCTCGCTTTGGACAAATCGCAGATAATTAGTTCATTATGTAGCTTTGCACTGATACAAAAAAACAAAAAGTGCTTAAGTGCGAAGTGCGCTTCTGAATGGACCATTTTTTGCGATGGTGTTTCATTGACTTGATTTTGTTTTATAAACTTAGCCAATAATTAGTAACCCAAGTTTTTCCATTGTTTACTTAAAACTAAACTAATAAGAACAAAAACATAGTCTCTTACTAATGAAGCTAAGACGTTAACCCAGTTACAAGTGGTAAAAATTTACATCTTAAATACTACTGTTCTCTGTGGTTTTCTCAAGGGGATTTCATCACAATAATTTCCCGGGATTTGATACCTCGAACAAGAAAGTCAAGATATAACAAATAATGAGTGTTGTTACCGAAAAAAAAACTATACTGGCTACTTACTGTAAAATCTTAGTTACACACACACACACACACACACAAAATCAATTATTTCAACAGCTAGCTATAGGTCCATTGTATGCAAAAATGTTTCAAAAATTTGGATGTTTTAGTTACTACTGCAAGCCATTTTTTATGCAATGTAGTAACATAAAATGTAGATTCATTCTTTGTATTACAGATAAATGTTATAAACAGAAACGATTAACACTATCGTTGTCTTCCTTTTAACTACAAATAATTTCTGTATTATAACACTTTATGGCGAAAACTTGTAATGAACCACTCCTGCCTCGTTTCTTGTGTAGAGGAATGTGTTTTCTTTCTAGAGTTTATTATTTGTTACTGAGACAGCAGAAAGGTTATGGGCTTGTAACGCTAAAATCCAGGGTTCGATTGCCCACGGTAAACACACCAGATAGCCCAATGTGGCTTAGCTATAAAACAAACAAACTATTAAGAAAGTGTTAGATATAGACGGCTGTTAATTTTGAGTTCAATGTGAGAGTATTATTTAGTTTATATTGTGCGAACATTAAAGTAAGTTATTTTTAGAAGCGATACTTATGGCAAGTTTGCTTACGTAACTGCTTGCGAATTATTTGTTGTGTTGTTCAATTGTTGTGAATTGACGTCATGTTTCTCGAACCTTCTGAATTTTTTGTTGCTTGTTAGATCATAACGTCTCGTAATTTGTAGAATAGGCCTCAGTCGGGCAATGTATATATAGACGACCAAGTTAGTGAAAGTAAGTTAGTTAAGTAAAAGGAGAAAAATAAAGTGATTGAGATAGATATAGACTGGGTGATCGTGAGATTAGCCATAAAATGTGAATAGTGGTGACTTTTAAAGGGTAATAATCGCAGAATGTATTGTAATAACAGAGTAGAGAAGAATAATTTGTCTTCTCAATTGTGTTCTAAAGTAATTGAATCAGCCTGTGTGGACATTTGACGTGATAACTGTGATAACCAATAATGTAACGGTTTTTTTTTACATACGTTTGACTTGTTTTGAATAACTTATTTTAAAACAAGTGGATTGTGTGCTGTCTGTTTATTGGTCCATTTACTGTTGAAAGATATTGTCAATAAGTCACAGACGCCCACTGTAAAGAATCGCGGCCTTATAAAACCTGAAAGAACGATATAAAATTTTATATTCCTTATTATAACACACCCTTACTAATTGTTTTCTTTTTTTGTGTGCACAAAATTGCTTTTATAGAAACCGTATAGATTTCTAAACATACTACAGATTGATATTGAAAAGGTAATTTCACCAAATACCAACTGCAGATTTTCAGGAGATTTTACAAAATTGACTAAGAACTTCTGCTGTTAGTGAGGAACATTGTTTCACTTTGCTGTCTGTAATAATTACACCATTCCGTTTATCAACGAACATTATTTCAGCTTGGTATTAGAAGTGATTACTACTTGTCTGTAATGAGCGAAAATGTTCCACTGTAACAAAAATTACCTAATCATAAGTCAAACGAAACTTGAACGCCGTCTCTGTAATGAAGGTTGTTTCATGTTAGTGTGCGTTATCTCATCTCTGTTATGTTACAAAACCATTACATCGTTAAAATTCTGTCTGATTGCAACAATAACTTCTACTGAGTAATCTACCACTCCTATTCCAGTGATAACCACGTGATTGTATCTAGAACGATTATTACAAATACTATTAAATCTTTGTTGAACGTTAAGGAAATGCTGTTTATAACTTCGAATATTCCTACACAACATATTCAATGGTACCTGATGATGACAAAACCTTGTCGAAACGTTGTACATTTGCTGTTATGTTAAACT